AACAAACTAACCCTTTTCAAACTCCAGTAATAAAAAAGAAATAGAGGGAGTGAAAAAGGAAATAGTAAAGAAGCTCCAAACGAACCCTAAGCCTTTTCTAGCTCGTTAATTGCCTGCACAATTACTGCAGACCAGGTCTGGGACCCTTCATTTGCAGATCTCTGAACTCGAACAGACCATCTCGCTCAACCCGTGTCAGCGCAAGGTGCTGCAGGCGGGAAGGGTGAGGGAGTGCTCCCCTCCCTGCTGCCGTCTCTCTGCAAAAAGGGGGAAAATGTCCTTGTGCTATGGAAATATGTGGTTTAGTAGCTTTTGCTATCCCTGCTGTCCCATGCTACGTGGTGTAAAGACAGCTGAAAGATAATCTGGAAAGGCAGCAACGGGATACCCAGAGTTTTTCACCAGGGTGTCACTGATTCTCATCAGAAAAGACTGACAGTCTCACAGTTGTCCTATATGAAATGAATTTGTTGCTTTCGATCTAGTTCCTGAAGGACAAGGATACACATTGCACTAATGCACTGGGATGGAAAGGAAGCAGAGACCGAGCGGGTCTCGCTCACACAGGTGTTTCTGCAGCCACGTCCCCTCCGCAGCGCCAGGGACCATTAGCTGCTTTAATCCATGTTGCACCAAGTTTACTGCAGAGAGGATTTGCTGCCTCTGCACCCTCAGCCTGGCCCTCTGCCCAGCCCTGAGACTCATCATGCCCACAGGTAAAACAAGGAGTTAATCTGAGATATTAGATGATGCTCTGCTCTACAGATTGCACCTTCTTACACTGGGATTAGTCCATGATTTTAACAAATGACATGAAGGGCCCCGTTGGCCAACTTTGCTCTGACCTCGAGATGACTTTGTTAGGTTTTCTCTCCCTCTCCTTCATTTCAAGGGTTTATCTGCAGCCACACTTAGTTTCTGCATTTCTTTTTGTTGCTGAATTTGGATCCATTCTTTTGTTTTGTTTTTTTTAGAGTTCTCTGCCACGGCTTGAGTTACAGATCTGAACATTTGATAAATATGCCTTTCCCAGATTGTTTAATCTCATGTATCAGCAAGGTACTCTTATGAAAATGTCTTTCAACAGCCTCTAGCAACGCTTCAGTCTATCGCAAATACTTAACTCCAGTCTTGTAACAGGAGTGACTCAAACCGATGGATGATGAAAAATTTAAACATTAGACTTTAAGAAGCTACCGCCTCTGTCCTGCTCTTGCACAGACTGAAACCCTTTTCATTAGCTATTCTTTTGGGAGCGCCACAGTACATGTCTTGTTCAGATGTATCTGGTTTCCTCGACAATGAACTTTCTTGTGTTTGTTTCTGCCTTTGCCCTATTAATTTTGCAGTAAGGTTTGATTGCTCTGCAAAGCTTAAATCATGCTACCAATGTCAATCCTGATTTCTTTATCCCAACTCATTCACTTTGATCAGGGAGTGTATTTTAATTAAAGCATGCTGAATTAATATATAAGGAGATTAAATGCTAAGGGAAGTGCTGTTTTATCCTAACTCCAATGGACACCTAGCAGGTGCAGAAAAAGTTTGCTGTGAAACAGCCCTGCATGATAAAACAATCTGCAGGATGAAATAGTTCCTTTTGTCAGTGAAACTAGTCCGTTTGCAGAAGTTCACTGCAGCTTTCAGACAACCCCAAATCACCCTGTGGGGATCTCTGCAGATCTCATCCAGCATTTCCCCAGAGATTGTTCCTTGCACCATGGCAGCATATGCTGTGATCAGATCTCTGAGATGTCACCCTTGCAGACCTCTCTGGTTATGAGGAGCTCCCAGATCACCTTCTCCCCTTGCTCCCCAAACAGCTGCTCTTCCATGTGAAGAAATCCTAGACGTTTTATCACTCCCTCCAATGCAGCCGATGCCTTATCTAAAGCTTGATAACTAGAAAGCTAACCTCAAAATCAGAAGTCTTGCTGATAAGTCCATGCGCCACCAGTGCCCGTCTTCCCCTTTGCAGCCAGGCTCTAGCACCTCTGCAAAAAAGCCCCATAGGTGGCAAGGAAACCCCCAAGTTCAGGCTGGCAAGGGAGAGGGTAGGTGAGGGGAGGGCAGAAGAGAAGAAAGAGATGTGGGGTTCTCGGGGCGTCTATAGGGAGAGCCAGGACCCCACAGCACTTTACCTGCCTCTGCCGCGTGCGCCTCCTTCCCTGCACTCGCAGTGCAGTGAGCTGGGCGGCTCCAGGCAGGGACCCCGAGAGCTGGGGGCAGGGACTGGGGCCAGCACCGCCTCGCAGCCGCAGGTGTCTCCTCAGCAGCACCCGGCCCTCAGCCAGCGGGGAGGGGAAACGTCTCCTCTGCTGGGGGCTCAGAGGGCAAGGGACTCCCACCCAGGCAGAAGAGGATGCTTCCTCTCTGAAGAGTGCTCCACCACTTGCGTTGGGGCAACACACTGGCCAGGCTTGTGCTGCCCAGCACCCTGCTCCCCCCACTCCCCCCCCGAGCACGGGCAGGTGGCCCTGGGCTCCTTGGAGCAGAATACGAACCAGCTGTACCTGGGGTTGCCCAGCAAAATGGGGCTGTGGTTTCTGCGAGACGAAGTTGTTCCAACTTTGTGTTGAAAGTTTCTGACTAAATCGTGCTCTTGCACGGGATCTTTTTCCTGCGATGCAACACATCCAGTGCCACCTTGATAGAACAGATAGTTTAGTTACTCTCCAGGGCAAAACAGTGCACGTGAGACCACCGAAGTGTGATTTGTGCACCATCACCCACACCAGGACAGGGACAGTGGAGGGACAAGGCACGTTCCCCGAGCCCAGGAGGAATGAATTTGGACATAAGACTTGCAATAAACACTTGTCCCCTTGGATGACATCTTAAAGTATTTCAGGCAATTTAATCAACTACTGGACTCAAGAGTTTCTTTGCATGGATGTGTGAGCAGACATCAACCACACACAAAGTGCTCTCAAGGTCTGGAAAGAGAAAGGAGTCCCTTCCCTGACACGATGAGCCACACTGCGCCCCTTCCTTCGCAAGGAACTCTGACTTTAGAAGTATGGATGTACATTCAACAGCACTAAGCAGGGTTTTGACCCTGTCAAACATGGTCCCTTAGAATTTAAGCTTACTCTGTTCATAGCCTTTCCCTGTTCATGTTTTAGTAAGTGTTTTAATTCCCCATCATCCCAAGCTTAAGAATACTTCTTTAAATAGAGGGAACAAAATAGGAAATCTTAAGAAAAAAACCCCACTATTATTTACATTGCACCTTCTGTCCCAAAACCTCCCAAAGCTGTTACGAACCAAAATCCTAAGTGACAGGACTAAAAGATAGGAGAGCCATGAAATGCATTGTATCTTGTGTCATTTTTAACCTGTGGGATTAAAACACTTAAGTAACTTTGAAGAATTCTGTCTTAATACATATTTGCTACATGAAGCTAAATTCATTACACATTAAGAAACATATTTTCCCACTACTATATGAGTACAAATGAAGGTAACAAATAAAAATAAATGGATTCATTCCAAGCATACATAGCTTATTTTTTCAACAGACAAATCTGATTGTACTCCATGCCAAAATTCAACAGCACATGCTGAAACGAGAATTAATACTGAGCCTGTATTACCATTGAAAACAACCCACCAGTCAACCCCCTCACCCCATACTATAGAACACTTAGTATTTCTCAAAGATGACTAAATCAGCAAGAAAAATCACTAACCATCAGGCAAAGGAAGCCCAAAGTAAATCTAAAAAGACATGTGTAAACATCCTACCTGGTGTAAGATCACCAATCACTAAAAAAAACCCCAAACAACACAACGCACAACTTTTTTTTAGACTTCAAAAGCAAAAGGTAAGTCAGTTCTTACTTTACTTACCAGCTGATTTACAGGCTGAGGCTCCTCTGCTCTCTCACAACACTTACATCCCAAGCAACATACGACATACGCCTGCCAGGTCTGCACTACTTATGATGCTGCTCGTTGTTTTAAAGGAAGGTTATATCCCAACTGCCAGAAATTATCCATTTTAAACAGAGTTTTTAAAACAAGACATGTTAAAATAAATAGAGCTTATTTAATGCTCCTGGAGAAAAGAAAATGTCCCAAGCTAGCAAAACCTTCAAAATCTGCCTGATCCTCACAGGCAGTTTGACTCGCAAAATTTGCAAGAAGCTGCCTGCAAGTCTTTTAAGCTGAAAATCTTTAGGAACAACTTGCTTAGAAACTTTGTTACTAAACCCCACCAGTTTAAAGTACAGTTTTGGCAAGTTCTACCATACCCTTTTTGCTGGAAAATGGCATATGCAAAAGCAATGAGGATTTATGAGGCTTTGAGAGGAACATGACAGAAACCCAACCAAAAGTGATACATTTTTTGTGGACTTTTATCCCTTTAAACAATCCTTAAATGCTGTTCAAATAAATGCAAGGTTGTGCTGCTACTGAGAGCTCGATTCTCAACACAAAGAGCAGTTTCTGCAGACAAGCGTGGCTATGGTCACAAAAATGAACACAAAAGTTAATGCAAAAAGTCATCTCAAAAAAAGTTTATTAGCATGATTAAAAACATGTGAAGAATGACAGTAAGAGAGAAAGTAACTTAGCATGGAAGAATATCCATTTCAACAGTTTATAGTCAGCAAGGCTTGAACTGAATGGATAACTTTATTGCCAGATTTCGTTTGATTTCTTTAACAACAGTTCACATTGTATGTTTCATCATTATTAGGACTATTGCTTTTGTTTGGATCTGATCCCTGTTGCAGGTAAGTATAAAAAAATATCCCCCATTACTGCTGGACTGCAGAATGCATTGTTGGTTTAAGAGCTGGTAAAAAAAGAAATTCTCAACTGAAGAGTCTGTTTAAAAAACAACCTTTTTTTCCCCCCCTAATCGCACTACAAAGAAATACATTAGTATTTTGGCCTTTAAATTTCTTACATGGTATTTATTTAGCATGGCAATCCCGGAATTCCCTCCCTTTAAGTA